CTTTGAGAGCATTTAGCCTAGCTTTACATTTCTTGTTTAGTTGTGGTATAGTGGATTTGTTAAAGGGTACATCTACACCAAGATATCTGTAAGTTTTAACGTAGCTAATGATTTCACCCTGCAAATAGATGGGTGGGGGATGTCGTTTGCTTGTTAATATCTTTGTTTTAGAGGAAGATATGAGGCCTAGTCGATTACAAATTGCTTGAACTTCATTAAGAATGGTATTCATCTTCTTATGCCCTGTTGTATGGATCATGATATCAGCATAGCTTATAGCTATATGTTTAGGTGAGGCATTAATCAGAGCATTAATCAGAATATTAAATAGCATGGGACTTTGCTTACAGGAACCAAAATTACTCTGCTGTTCTCTCTTATCTCAGGCTATAATTTATTGTATTCTTCAGATCCTTTTCCTGATGGGACCTTTAATGAAAGTGCCCTTCTTCTACGCACTGATATTCCGTACCATCAGCTATTTGTTCGTACTTCGCTGCATTACACAGCAGCCCGTATCCACTTGCATAGGTGGTATACGCTCTGTTCTTTATCTCTCTCTCCTTCTCGGGCATTATATATTCCGAACATTGCTTTTCTTGTTTCATCATTACCGCCACCGATTCTGTTACATGGTGATTTTAATGCCCACCATTTCCTCTGGGGGGGGTCTCACTGTGATTCCCGTGGCATTCAGTTAAAGGCTTTTCTTGCCACCCACCCCCTCCATGTTTTAAATACAGGTACTCACACCCATTTTGATCCTCGGACTCACACTCTCTTGCATCGATCTCTCAGTCTGCTCTTCCTCCACCGCATTAGACTTCACTTGGTCTGTTCTTCTGGACTTACATGACAGCGATCATTTCCCAATCATTCTTACTTCCCCTTCATATTCACTACCTCTTCACATCCCACACTGGCAATTTGATCAGGCAAATTGGAACCTTTACTCACACGTAACTGTTTTTAGAGAGGTTCCTTCTTCGTCCTCCATCGATGAGCTTTTACACCTCTTCTCGTCCTCCGTTTTAACCACAGCTTCTCATTCTATACCCCAAACTTCGGGCAGGCATTCTCAGAAATGCGTGCCTTGGTGGTCTCCTGCTTGTGCTCGTGCAGTACGTTTGAAACACGCTGCATGGGGCAGGTACTGGTACAATAGAACCACAGAGAGACTTCTTGATTTTAAGCAGAAGCGTGCGATCGCTCGCCGTGTCATCCGTGACGCTAAACACACTTGCTGGCGAGATTGTCTCCACCATCACCTCTGCTTCCTCTATGAGTGCAGTCTGGAAAAAAGTACGAAAAGTGAGTGGTAAATATTCTCCTGACCTGGCTCCTGTTCTGCGGGTTGTCGGTGTTGATATAGCAAACCCACTAGATGTTGCCAATGAAATTGGCAATCATCTGGTCCATATTTCTCAGGGACTCCATCTATGCCCCTCATTTCTTTCCTCAAAGTCTACCAGAGAGTTAGCACCCTTGGACTTTTCTTCTCTCAGAGAAGAACAGTATAATGTGCCTTTTACACTTCGAGACCTGGAGGCAACACTCTCAGCTTGCCGATCATCGGCAGCTGGGCCCGACGACATTCATATTCGTATGCTACAACATTTACATCAGTCAGCCCTTGCAGTCCTATTACGCCTTTACAATCTTATTTGGTCACAAGGAGTTCTTCCACAGCTGTGGAAATCCGCCATTGTTCTCCCTTTCCGCAAACCAGGCACTACGGGACATGAAACCTCCCACTATCGTCCCATTGCTCTTACCAGTGCAGTTTGCAAAGTGATGGAACGCCTAGTAAATAGACGTTTAGTGTGGTATTTAGAGACACACAACAGTCTCTCCACTCGTCAATATGGCTTTCGTATGGGACGTTCTACCATAGACCCCTTACTACGCTTGGATACGTATGTTCGTAATGCCTTTGCGAATAACCACTCAGTTACTGCCATATTTTTTTGACCTTGAGAAGGCATATGACACAACTTGGAGGTATAATATTTTAGCCCAAGCCCACTCCTTAGGCCTTCGAGGCAATCTATCATCCTTCCTTAAGAACATTTTAACTGACAGGCATTTCCGTGTTCGGGTTAATAATGTGCTCTCCCCGGACTTTATCCAAGCTGAAGGTGTCCCCCAGGGATGTGTTCTGAGCACAACACTTTTTCTCCTTGCTATTAATGATTTGGCCTCTAGTCTTCCATCAAATATTTGGTCATCACTCTATGTTGATGACTTTGCTATTGCCTGTGCAGGCGCTGACTGTCACCTTATTACAGTTTCTCTCCAGCATGCAGTCGACCGTGTTTCCAATTGGGCCACCACACGTGGGTTTAAATTTTCCAGCACTAAAACCCACCAAATTACTTTCACTAGACGCTATGTCATCTCCGATCATCCTTTGTATCTCTATGGCTCCCGTATCCCTGAACGTGATAGTCAAGTTTCTGGGCCTCCTCTTTGATCGTAGGTTATCCTGGAAACCTCACATTACCTCTCTGAAGGCAACTTGTCACAGCCGGCTGAACCTTCTTAAAACCCTTGCTCATCTTTCATGGGGAGTTGATCGTCGAACCCTCCTTCGCCTACATTCCACCCTTATTTTATCGAAACTTGATTATGGTGACCAGATCTATTCAGCGGCATCTCCTGCTACTCTCTCTAGCCTTAACCCCATTCATCACCAAGGATTACGTTTATGCCTTGGTGCTTTTTGCTCTTTCCCTGTCGAGAGCCTCTATGCAGAAGCGAACGTTCCATCCTTATCCGATCGCCGTGATGCCCATTGCCTTCGCTACTATGTACGCTCTCATGATCTCCGCAATCCTTCGATTTATAGAATGGTCACTGATATTAGTAGACATTCTTTATTTGTTCGCCGCCCCTGTTTACTCCGTCCCTTCTCTCTTCGCCTTCATTCACTCTTGTCTTCTCTTCAATTACCACCTTTCTATGTACATGTAGCATCTCACTTTTCCCTACCCCCCTGGGAAGTTCCAGCTGTTCGAGTCTGTTCTTTCTCTCTCCCTTGCTCGAAAGCCCAACTGTCTACTGTCGCTTCCCGCTCTCTTTTTCTTGACCACTTTCACTCTCATTCTCATGCCATTGCTGTGTACACAGATGCCTCTAAGTCTTCTGACGGCGTAGGATTCACAGCAGTGTTTCCGGACAGCGTCGTCCAAGGGCATTTACTATCTTCATCTAGTATTTTTACTGCTGAATTGTATGCCATCCTTACAGCACTTATCCGTATTGCATCTATGTCTGTGTCATCATTTGTGGTTGTCTCAGACTCCCTTAGTGCTTTACAGGCTATACAGAAATTTGATAAACCTCACCCCTTAGTCCTCCGTATCCAACTTTGGCTATGCCGCATCTTTACCAAGCATAAAGATATTGTTTTTTGTTAGGTCCCTGGTCATGTTGACATACAGGGCAATGAACAGGCAGACACTGCTGCGCGGTCAGCAGTACATGACCTACCAGTTTCATGTAGAGGTATTCCATTTACGGACTATTTTGCTGCAATATCTTCCCACCTTCACACCCGTTGGTCTACTATGCTTGGCAACAAACTTCAATCTATTCAACCCAGTATAGGTTACTGGCCGTCTTCTTATCACCAGTGTCGAGGTTGGGAGACTACTCTCTCCCGTCTTCGCATTGGCCATACTCGTCTTACTCATGGATATCTTATGGAGAGGCGCCCTGCTCCTCTCTGTGAGAATTGCCAAGTTCCATTATCAGTCAGCCACATTCTGTTGGATTGCCCACTTTATCAACGGGCACGCAGAATTTACCTCCATCGTCGTCTTCACTCCGCTGATCTCTCTTTACCTTCCCTTCTCGCTGATGGACCCACCTTTCATCCAGACTCTCTCATTGACTTTTTGACAACAACTGACTTACTCCACAAATTCTGATACCTTCAGCCCTTTCTACTTCAATCTCTTGCTACCGTCTACCCCGTACCATCCCCTGCCCTGCTGTTTTCTGTAACCTACTGATCATCCCTCCTCCCTTCTGCCATCCAATACCCTCGCTTCCTTCCCTACCCTGCAGCGCTGTATAGCTCTTGTGGCTTAGCGCTTCTTTTTGATTATAATAATTGCAGTAAGCCCTTCATCAGCACATGACCTACACTTGAGCATGTCCAGGAGTCCCACTTGTCAAACCTATATTTAAGGTAGGGGAGGATGCCTCTAAGCTCGTGAATGCTCTTGATCCAAGTAACTTCATTGGATAAATTCTGCTTCCCATTCCTCAGGCACTGAATAACCCCTACGGATTTACCTCTTCCTCGTGAATTCAGTTTGAGGGAATGAGGCAATAGTCTGGACTGGCAGCTCAAATTTCTTGTAATAAGAGTTTAACAGCACCAAGGTAATCCCCTCCTGAAGGGCTTCCAGGCAGAAAAGTTTAAAAGTCGCATACTGGATAAAGGAAACCATTGCCTAATTCCCACGAGGAAAAAAACCCGTAGGGTTTATACAACACTGGGGAATTGGAGGTAATAAGGACTGATGGAACTGTAGCTCCAGTTTCTTTAATCAAGAGCCCCTCACCGGTATGAAGGGAGCCGCCTTGAAGGCAATCATTGCGTCATCTGGCTGTTCTCACCATTATGTTCAAGGACCGCCGCCTCCTGTTTACCATTCCACTCTCAACCCTCTTCTATTGATCGCCTCTAGCAACAACACTCGCTGCTTTATAACACTAATCACTACCTAGGAGAACTAATAGTTCATTTTACCTTAGATTTACATAATGGTTGATGAAATTCCTGGTCTACTAGTCTGTCTTACGTCGTTGATTGAAAGGGAAAGCAAATGCTGCCGCTGCCAGGCGCAAAAGCAACATATCCATTAAGCGCTACAACCATTACATGAAAAATACTATATACATTTCAGTACGAAATAGGGTCATGCATCCACTGAATACTTCAACAATTTAAAGGTACTGTAGAGACTGGTGTCAACAAACGTTGTTGCTGTACGAGCCACACTGACTGCTGAGTTGAAGTTCTCTGGCATGGGTGGACGTGTGCTTAACTTTTAACTGCATCTTTATCCTCGGATTTTGACAGCTTCTACAATTTATGCATACGCTTCAGCAGCGGAGGATTATACAACAACACATACTCTCAAGGTGAGTCGAGTATGAATGTCACACGCGTAGAAATAAGCTTACATTTAAAGCCATTGCTCAAGCAGTCTCCATCTGGCAGTTTACACAATTGGTCTGGACATGTCTGAGAGAACGGGAGCAGCACACACTTAGACATATATGGAGCGTGAATTGATTTACGTCTGCTAGTGACGACTGACACCTAATAAGGGCATCTAATGAGCACTGTCGCTAAAAAATAACAATTACCATATGGGGGACACGTGAGGTTACCAAGTAGTCATATTGTTAACTTTTAAACTATGGCAGTGATGTCTCCCTATTATGTAAGCTGTACTCATTTTATATATACCGCGGCGTGTATGTCTTAGTGTGTACGTGTATTTTTTTTTTTTTTTGAGGGGGGGGGGATTTGAAGTATTCAGGATGTTGATGCATAGGTGAATTGCTACCTAAAATGGCTCGTGCTGTCCTGGGGCTTCAGCCTAAAATAAACTGAACGCTAAACTGCTCTTACTGGACAGGAATCAGACTGTGGTGTATTAGAAATAATTGTGAAGTGGTGGCTAGTAGTGATGGTTGTAGTGGTGGGTGATGGTCGGGGTGGGTGGCCGTGATAATGGCTAGTTTTAAGAGTGGCAGTGATTAGTGATAGTAGCGAGTAGTGATTGTAGCGGTGGTTTGTGGTGATAGTGATGGGTTTGGTTGATGGTATTGATGGGTTGTGGTTAGTGGTAGTGATGGTATGGCGGGTTGTGGTAAGTACTTCAGCATTAATGGGGTGGTGATGGTAGTGGCGGGTTGTGGTAAGTACTTCAGCGTTAATGGGGTGGTTATGATAGTGGCGGGTTGTGGTAGTAAATGGCAACATTAATGGAATGGTGAGTGGTGGTGGTGGTGATAGTGATTGTGGTGTTAAGTGGCAGGGTTAGCGGGTTGGTGAGTGGTGATAACTGGCGATTTGGTGTGATGAAGGTAGTAGGTTGTAGTGAGAGAATGGTGGCGGTGATAGTAATAAATGATGGTAGACTAGAGATAATAGGTAATGGTGATTACTGGTGTTTGATGCTGGGACGTAATTGGTGAGTGTTGGAAAGTGGTATTGGTGGTGGTTAATAATAATAACCAATATTTGCGGACTGCTCCATACACTAACAGGTTAATTAAACTGTAAAGCAGAGATACATGGTATTGATATTAATACATATTCATGTTGGATATATACTTAAAACTACCCTTCAGGGGAGGTACCTCAACATTACTGAAGGGCTCGTGATCCAACGAATGCTAGCGATCCTCACTTTCCTCGATCGAACTTGATTACCTCACGGGTACTGTATGACCCTTAGGGGTTTAGCGCTTCCCAGTGATTATTATCTGCGAGGGCACTGCCGTAGGCCGCTGCTCTTTCTCTAGGGAGGTACCTTGACGCCGGTGACGGGCTCTTAATCTAGGGAATTGAAGTTACTTTTCCTTGGATCAAACCTGAATACTTATCATTCCCCAAGCAGTGTATGATCCCAACGGGTTTACCACAGATTTAAATCTCATCGTAAACTTTTACAATAGCTACCATCCTGAGCCCCTCAAGGGAGGTTCCTTGACGCTGGTGAGGGTCTCTTGATCTAGGGAATTCGATCTGATTCGGTTCCCTGAATTCAGCCTGAATACCTTCCATTCCCCCCCGACATGCGCTGTATAATCCTACGGGTTTAGCGCTCCCCATGCTTATAATACCATCCTGAGATTGAAATCTGTTTTACCCCAAAAAGCTCACATTGTTTTAAAAAATAAATGTCATGGATTATAAGCCTGATGGAAAACTACTGATTAAGTAGAGTATTTCATAAGATTTATCAGACATTAAAGATTGATGTCTTTCGAAAAAGGAAAAAATCAACTTCAGAACTAACTTAGCATTTTTTTTTTCTAAGATATCGCACAAGCTTTCCAGAATTCGATTCCCCATATCCCATCGTCCTTCGTAAACAACAGTAGATGTCTCGCATTATTTTACAAGCATAAAGAAGTGTGTATTTTCTGGGACCCTGGACACGCTGATGTCGTCAGCTATTCACGCATTGCCAATCTCTTGCAGGAATGCTCCTTACTCAGATTATTTTTCAATACTTTATTAACAGATTTAAAACAGCTAGCAGCTACGTTGGTCCGAATTGAGACGAATTGTTTCAGATCTAAAACAATGAGGTTCCTGGCCATTTGTTCCCCACTGTCGGGTTTAAAAACTACACTTGACCTTTTCGATTTTGATATACATGTATATGACTTGTACACGGATAACGCATGGTGCCTGGTGCACCTCACTTGGGACTTCTTCAGGTTATACTGTCACTTCCCTACATCTTAATAGACTGTCCTGTCAATCAGTTAACACAATTTACTTCCGGTACCTGCTGCACCCTGGCGCACTCACCCTTAATGTAGACTCACACTTTGACTTTAGACGGAAACTAACCAGTTGCACCAACTTTGACTTATTTTTGTACCATCACTAGCTTCAACCTCCACTAACTCCAACCCCTTGCACACCCCTTGCAGTGTTCTATGACCTATACAGATCTAGCGCATATTTTGAATGTAATTTTATCCCAAGGAAACCAGAAGAAAAAAATGGTCTACATAGAACTAACCAGGGGATGCCTGCACATTCAGTTTGATGAACCTTTCCTTAAGGTAAACCATCATTGAATATTTTAAGCTGATAAGATAAGGAGTTCTCAAGTTATAAATAAAAGTCTTGGTAATGAAAAAGTTAACTGCATAATAAAGGGATATCTTCGGGGATAATAAAATCTACTACTGCTAATGTTCTTGCCCCTCTTGCTCCTTATCGTTCATTCCTCCCTCTTGTTCTACTGTTCATTGACTTGTGACTCATGCTGGCACTTGCACACTGACTTGACTCACACCTGCACCTGTTTACAGGCGGCTCACACCATCACCTCTTCCCTAGGTAGCCACCCCTCTCACACTTTCATTGTATACTTCTTCCCCTTTCACCTGTGTTTTTTTTTTCCTCGACAGATCCTGCAGCTTGCACGTCACATGTTCATACACGTCTCGCTTTGGGCACGTCTACTTCAGTGTCCTACCTTTGCCAGAAGCAGTCACTGCATAAAATAGCTCTAAGCCCTGATGTATGTATGGACTGAAGTATTTTTATATGTAAATATTACCCATTGTACCTGTATGTATGTGTACACACACACACACACACACACACACACACACACACACACACATACACACACACACACACACACAGATGAATCTAGATAGGCTGCAGGTTTGGTCTGACAAGTGGCGACTGGAGTTTAACCCTAGCAAGTGTAAAGTTATGAAGTCTGGGGAAGGGAAAGAAGACCGCAGACGGAGTACAGGCTATGGGGGCAAAGGCTGTAAGCCTCACTCGAGAAGGACCTCGGGGTCTACCTACCTGGAAGATGTTCCGGGGATCAACGCCTCCGCGGCCCAGTCCTTGACCAGGCCTCCCGGTGGATCAGAGCTTGATCAACCAGGCTGTTACTGCTGACCACACGTAGTCCAACGTACGAACCACAGCCCGGCTGATCGAGTACTGATTTCAGGTATCTCTCCAGCTCCCTCTTGAAGGCAGCCAGGGGTCTATTTGTAATTCCCCTTGTGCCTGGTGGAAGGCTGTTAAAGTTTTGGGCCCCAGACACTTACTGTGTTTTCTCTTAGTGTACTAATGGCACTTCTACTTTTCCTTGGGGGTATATTGCACCGTCTGCCTAGGGTTTTGCTTTTGTAGGGAGTGGTTTCTGTGTGCGCATTTGGTACCAGTCCTTCTAGGATTTTCCAGATGTAGATTATGATGCATCTCTCTCGCCTGCGGTCCAGTGAGTACAGGTCAAGTAATTCCAAGCGTTCCAAGTAATTAAGGTGTTTGACGGAACTTATATGTGCAGTAAAGGTTCTCTGTACATTCTCTAGATCTGCGATTTCACCTGCCTAGAATGGAGATGTTAGTGTAGAGTGGTATTCCAGCCTAGAGAGAGAACAAGTGATTTAAAAAGGATCATCGTTGGCTTGGCATCTCTTGTCTTGAATGTTCTCGTTATCCATCCTATCATTTTCCTAGCAGATGTGGTAGTGACTCAGTTGTGATCCTTGAAGGTGAAATCCTCTGACATTAACACTCCCAAGTCCTTCACACTACATTTCCGCTCTACTGTATGATTAGAGTTTGTAGTATACTAGTTCTAGTCATTATTTACTCCAGTTTTCCATAACGAAGTAGTTGAAATTTGTCCTCATTGAACATCATATTCTTTTCCGCTGCCCATTGGAAAACTTGGTTTATGTCTGCTTGGAGATTTACCGTGTCCTCAGTGGATGACAGTCTAATGCAGATTCTAGTATCATCTGCAAAGGATGGCACGGTGCTATGGTTTGCATCTCTGTGTCTGATATGAAGATGAGGAACAGAATTGAGGCTAGTACTGTGGCTTGTGGAACAAGAGCTTTTCAATGTGGCAGCCTCCGACTTAACTGTTTACCATTAACTACTCTTTGTGTTCGATTGGTTAGAAAGTTGAAGATCCATATGCCCACTTTGCCAACTCCATTAAGTGCGCATTTTGTGCGCCAGTACACCATGATCGCACTTGTCAGGCTTTTGCAAAATCTGTGTATACTACATCTGCATTCTGTTCGTCTTCCAGAGCATCCAAGTCCATATCATAGTGGTCCAGTAGTTGCGAGAGGAGGCAGGATCGAACTGCTCTGAATGCATGCTGTCCTGCATTGTGCAATTGTTGGGAATCCAAGTGATTTGCAGTCATGCTTCTTAGAACTCTTTCAAAGATTTTTATGATGTGGGACATTAGAGCTATTGGTTTCTAGTTCTTAGGTATTGCTTTGCTGTCTCCTTTATGGAGTGGGGCTGTATCCGTTGTTTGTAGTGACTGGGATTTCACCCGTGTCTGTGCTCCCTCTCTAGCATACTTCAAGCACGCGAAAGGGGTTTCTTTTAGTTCTTAATGAACACGGAGTTCCATGAGTCTGGATTCTATGGGCGTGAGTACTGCGGTGAGTACTGTACCAAGCATATTCGTCTGAGGCGCACATCAACCAATTAACTGCGGCAATTATTATTATAATCAAGGGGGAAGCGCTAAACCCGGAGGATTATACAGCGCCTGGGGGGGGGATGTGGAAGGCATTCAGGCTTAATTCGGGGAACTGGAGCACAGATCCAATTCCCTAAATCAAGAGCCCCTCACCAACATCAAGGAACCTTCCTTGAGGGGTAACTGCGGCAAAAAATGCGCGCCTGCCAAATTTAAGACTAGCTCTTAAAAATCTAGGTAAGGTAGGTAAGTATGAGGTTTGTTAAGAACAGGACAAGTGTTTTCTGAGGCGGGTCTCAGTCATATGATGACCCGTAGTTGGAGCTTTCGTTCATCTGACCGAGGCTTACTGGTCCACCCCCATTAAAAATTATAGTTATGAATATGATTATAACCATTTCAATACAATTAGTAGTTATTTTTTTTTATATTTTATTGAAAAACGCAATACATAGTTATACATGTAGACAATGTAAGCAATGAAACGTATCCATTATATATAACAAAAGAAAACTCCATATTCCCTACCGTAGCACTAAACTTATACATAAGAACTAAACTAAAGACAGCCCACAGCTTCATATACAGGTGGGTTTAATACATCCAAAATTGCAGCCATAAACACAATATACAATATAACCCAAAGAATGTCACAGGTATTGACATTTTACATAAAACTGTATGTACGAAGACATTCACAATTATCCAAAAATGCTTTACACACTTACTATTGTTGTATATTAAACTTCATATCAAATACATAATACGTAACACCTCAATAATTACGAAACAAATAAAGGTTAGAAAATAACAATCTCCACACCTCACCACAGAAAAACTAAACACAGTATAATATAACAAATGATTCATCCCACCTCACTTCCATACACTACATTCGTCCCACCTCACGTCCATACACTACATTCATCCCACAAGCGAACTTACACAATCACGTATATTTAGTAATATTTTTCAAATATAATTTCCAGTTTTGAGTAACAAACTTCTTCTACCATATAATGAAATATACATAGTCATTACTATTAAACATTAACTTAAACGAGACTATATTCTTATTCTACAGACCTCAGCAGTTCTTGCCCCACCATCCTAACCCTACTTGACACATTGTACATCAACACATCCTTATATACCCAACACTCGTCAATAATATTCATTGAACTTCACCGAATACCAATATACAACCCATACTGAGTACATGAAATTCTCTCTTACATACTGCTATATACACTTGATGTATGATAAAAATCACACATTACATTATCTCATTATTAGCAGTACATTTGGTACACAGACATATTTATCACGCCCGCATGTCCTTTGCTTTAATACAACCACCAATCCTGATAATACATTACAACATATTCCAAATTTAACTTATCCATAACATATATCAGTATACCAGCCTGAGTATGACCGTATACTTTTCACATGCACACAAATATTGCTCATTTCCATGTCCATAAAAATCTTAACAACTTTTCCCTTACAAACCACCACAAACTTACTTAAAACACACTCCACAACTACGCTGCCATTTCACACCATATCACGGAACTCCTCATACATTCCCAAATTCTGAGACGAGCCCGGTGCAACCCCTGAAAATCCAAACACATCCCCCCCCCCCTTTTTTTTTTTTTTTTCTCACTCCGCCAACAAACCTCTGACATTCATACTTCGATATCCTTCAGGAAAAACCCTTTACCATCTACTTCCATATATCCCCCTATTGCGACTAAGTGTTTTGTACATTGTTGCAGCCAATACCTTCTTTCGCACCATCCAATCCCCATTACCCCTCATGGCCCATGATACGAAAACAAAATCCGTTATGATGTACACCAAAGCACGCTGCACAGACTCTTCCACACCTCCCACATCTAAACTCAATGCCCTTAATACCGATATCCCTCCCCACCCACCCTCCTCAAAATCCCACCCATCCACTCCCGTATACACTCCAAATTTTTACAAAAATATACTACATGAAAAGCTGTCTCCCTATCCCCACACACCCTACATACGTCCTCCACCATCAACACTCTCTCCCGAAGCACCACACCAGACGGCAATATTCCATGAAGGAAACGAAACATTACCTCTCTCACTCTTGGTCTGATGCGCACCAACCGCAACCTTACCCAAATATCTCCCCATGCATACATTGGGTATATGCCCTCAACATTTGCAATCACCCTCACCCCTACAGCACGCTCCAGAACACCTACCCGTATCCTAGACGGATCTCTAACATACAATAAAGCTCGCAGCACATCCTCACACTCCCTCATCTCTGATCCTACCCACCACCTTCGTGCCTCCTCATATAATGCTTGCACACCCTTCCCCACACAACCTTCCACTCGGAGAAACCCCCTCTTCAAATATATACACTTAACCCTTAATCTGATATCTATTAAACCCAATCCACCTTTGTCGACCGGTAGCATAACAACACTTCTACCCAACCAATCACACCCAGAACCCCATATATATCGAAAAACCTTTTTTAGCATTCTATTAATGTCCGGTCCTGCCAACGGATATACTGCTGCCACATGCCAGACCATACTATATAACATCACATTCACCACTATTACACGTTGATGTATCGTCAAATGCAAGGGTCTCAAAACATTTAACCTACCCACCAACCTATCCACTGCCCTCCCAGAATTAAGCATCCGTGCCTCCCCGGCATTCCCCATATAAATTATCCCACACACCTTTAGTCTATCCACCACACACCAACGCACAGCTGTTTCCCATCGCGCCCTCCCTACCCAATTCCCTAATACCAATAATTTCGATTTCTCCACATTCACTTTTAAACCTGTAACACCTTCATAACCACCAATTACATCCTCCACCTCATGTAAACTTTCCTCCCTGCTCATTAGAATTGTTGTATCATCCACATACCCTATTATTCCTATCCCACCATTCTCCACACCACGTACCACCCCTAAACATCGCCCCACTGCCCTATAAAAAGGGTCCTGTATACAAGCAAACAACAG